TACCATGGTCATGTGATTACTTACCTTTGAAAATACATTTGGTAAAAAATTATGAAAGAGGGCTAGGGTTATAGCTCAGTGGTTGAGAGCTTGCCTCGAACACAAGAGGCACTGGGTATAATCCTGAGCACCAAATAAATAAGTAAATAAATAGAAATATTGGATGCATAAACAACTAAAAAGATGTTTAAAAATTATGAAAGCAAACTCTAAGAAGGAATGCATAACTTTCCTATGTTCATATATGGATAAACAACCAATTTAATGCCACATCATATTCAACCACAAGAATGGGATCCTAATTAGAACAAGTTATACACCATATATTTATAATATGTCAAAGTACAGTCTTCTGTCATGAATTTTTAAAGAACTAATACAAATATATATTTTTAAATGTAAAATAGCTCCATTAAAATGGTTTTTTTTGTTGTTGTTTTCTTTTTTTTTTTCCACGAGAATTGATCCTAGAGGTGTTCTACAACTCAGCTACATACCTGTCATTTTTACTTTTTATTTTTAATACAGGGTCTTGCTAAGTTAGGACCTTCTCAAATTTCTGAGCTGGTCTTGGATTTCAATGCTTCTATCTCAACCTCCCAAGTTGAAGGATTTTAGGCATGTGCCACTACACCTAACTTACACATGTTTCACAGATGCTGTTCACAATTATCCTTMCAATTATGCAAGGTTACTAACTTAAGGGGTATTCATAAAAACAAATGGACTGCCCTCTAGGTTAAATAATGCATTGATTCCTTTAAATCACAACAGCAAAAACCTTTACAATGAGAGAATTATGAATGATGTAAATTATTTTGATTATAGTGTTTCTCAAATAAGTACAAATATAAAACTAGACATTTATTTACTTTATGATCCTAACATAGCTAAAGAAAAATGATTTTGCTAATAAAATACTAACAAAATTAATAATTCAACATATCGTGTGTCTGTGTGTGTCTGTGTGTGTGTGTGTGTGTGTGTGTGTGTGTTACTGAGGACTGAACCCAGGGGTGAGAGCCACAAAGCTCATCCCTCCCCAGGCCTTTATATTTTATTTTATTCATTTTAATTTTTGGTACCAGAGATTGAACTCGGGCCCACTCAACCACGGAACCACATCCCCAGCCTTATTTTGTATTGTATTYAGAGACAGGATCTCACTGAATTGCTTAGCACTTCACTATTGCTGAGGCTGGCTTTAAACTATCCATCCTCCTGTCTCAACTTCCCTAGCCTCTGGGGTTACAGTTGTGTGCCACCATGCCCACCTTTTATTTAATTTTATTTTTTTTTATTTTGAGACAGGGTCTCACTAAGTTTCCCAGACTGGCCTSGAACTCATGAACTTTCTGCCTCAGCCACTCCCCCACCCCAGGAGCTGAAATTACAGTCCTGTGCCATTGTGCCTAGCTACATTAACATATGTTAATGTAAATTTATTTGATGGATAATATTTTGATGTAATTAGGTAATTGTATACAATGTAAATATAGTGCTCTTAAGTAGTTATAGTTCATAGAGTGTGCTATATAATGAGTAACTTGACTTTTAAACTTTTTCTCATTTTCACTATGGTAAAAATTTTGTCCAGCAGTGTAATATGATATAATTTAGCATTTTTTTTTATAAATGAATCATTCTATTAGTATTCCCATAAACTAAGATTATTTAATGTAACATCTTGCAGTATAACATGCTCTTACTGCAAAAGCAAATCCATTTACCTTATGTGGTACATTCAGATGGTAATAGATTCATATGTGTTCTTACACTCAAGTCTTAAAAACCATCACCAATATGTAACCACATTAATAAAATTGTAGGTAGAAAATATGGACTCCCTTAGATATATTTATAAATCAAAAGTAATTTATAAAGAATTCAAAGAGATTAGCTAAGAAGATATGAACCTACTTTTATGGAACAAATCCAAATTAGCAGCAATTAATGTAAGAATGATTATATTAAACAAATTACTAACACCATAGTTAAAGATGTAGCATAGTTAAACCATTCACTTGGAAGTTATCATTGCTGGTTATGTACAGATAACTAGCTAATAGGATATACACACTGATATAAGAAAATAGAGTTAGAGAGAACTTAAGTATATGTAGTGCTTAATAATATTTAAGGACATAAATAATATAAAATAGAAGATTTAAAAATAAAAGAAAAAGTAAGGTGTTTGCTAAGCACACCAATCTTTAACATAAATAATTCAACACCAAAAGCCCAATGCCATAGCACAATTTTCAAACCCATATTTCCTGCATTCATCTGGATCTTATTTATCAATTTTTGATTTCCCAGTTTGACTTTTTTTTCCTCTAGAAAAATAGTCTTGCTACTCTTTAGTGTCAGAATTCAAATGCTGATTTTAGAGAGATTTTTCTGCTCCAACTGAATTGTTTTTAACTAAGATTTCATTATTTTTCTTACTTCTTCTTTGTAATCTATGCAACATGACATTATAATGTGGTTTAGAGCAAAAGTTATGGAATTAGATACATATCTACTTATGGTTTTGTATTCTACCCATGGGATATTGGACTATTCATTGAACTTCTGAAAGTTTCAGTTTTCTGAACTATGAAATCAAGATAACAGTGCTTGGCTCATTACACTGCTATGAACATTTGATAAGAGCATATTTTACAGCACAGTGTTTTGTATACAGTAAAAGTACTAAATAATGCAGGATTTTTTTCTTACATTAGATTTTTACTGCTCTATTATAACTCTGTGTAAATACACTTTTTATTATTGTTGTTGCAGAAGGTTTCCTAGAAATATGAAACTTTAAAATGGAAAATATTATGAGATATGATGACACCATCAAGATTATCTTATACAAAAATTGTTGTATTATTGACTGTTATTTCATTCATATTACTGATATCCACAATGTAAAAAATATCTGATATTTAACTATTTTCTGCCCTTTATGTTAGAGATACAAATGGAAATAATATTTTAAAAATGTGAAAGAAAATAAAAGCTAATTTCAAAATTGTAAAAGTAAACCTTATAGAAAAAAAAAAGAAAAAGAGAGACCAAATTAAAGTGAATTATAACTTCAAGTAAGGTGTTTGTATCACACAACATTAAGGTAGAACAAAGTTTTGAGGTTTGGCAACATTAGATGATGCACATACAATGCACATGCAATATACACACATGAATACATGCAGATATATTTAGAGAAAAGACATTATTAAGACATTAAAATTCTTCAATAAATGTGCTTACCTCTAACAACTAATATGTTGCCATGTATTAGAATTATATAATTAAATAAACTTTATAGATGCAAAAAATATTTCTTTTACTCTTTCAATAATGATAATTGGTATTTTTCTGAAAGATGCCTAAGGAAAATTTAAAATAATAATTATTTGCCAAATTAAATATTGTTGATGCCAATGATGAATCATCTTTTTGCAGCAGTGCTTGTGTTTTTATATTATGCACTCACTCAGAAGCTAGATTATAGAGCAGTTACCTTTTCCTCTCYCCCAAAATATCTTTATTACTGCCTTTACCATATGTTTTGTTTCTTCAAAGATAATAAAGTGGCAGATGTATCATCATAGAGATACCACATATTGGAAAAGTGAGATCATCAACTCCTTGTTTTATTCTTCAGTCATGCAGTCTCCCCCACTAAAGAACATTTCTCAAAGTTTTGATGATGAAGCACTAGGTTATCAAATTTATATCACAGGTACTTTTCTGGCTACTTGCTTTGTGATTTACATGTGTGTCCCACAACTCATGTTTTGGAAATGTAATCCGCAATTCAATAAAGGTAGGAGATGAAGCCTAACAGAAGCTGTTGGGGTCATGGAGGTATTTTTCCTCAGGAGTGAATTAATTGCCCTTATGAAGAGGGCTTGCAAGAGTAGTTTCTCATACTTCCACCTTCTGCTGTGTGAACAACGGAGAATGCATATATAAAGGCACAATTTCAGAAACAGAGGCAAAGTTTGCAGTGCCTTTGAAATAAATTTTTATTTTTGTAAATAGCATAGACCATGATATTTTGTTATAATATCCCCAAATCAATTAAGAGCAGCACTGTAGATGAAAGATATAAGAAAACAATGTTTTTTGTACTAACTATGGTGTGAGGAACACACAAAAAAACATAAATAACAAAGGATAGGGAAGGAAGGAGGGAGGCAGGAAGGGAAGGAGGGAAGGAGGGAGAAAGAGAGAGAGAGAGAGAGAGAGAGAAAGAGAGAGAGAGAGAATATGTGCAAGAGTCTTGCTAAATGCTTTTATGACAGAATATAAACTACTTGAGTGATATATATATAGTACTATGATAGGAAAGGTCTCTGTGAGGAAGTAAGCAGATATGAATGAAATGAAGGAGAGATTCATGTGAATATAAGATCTCAATTCAAAATATATGCTCGTAAAATTAAATGTGAATATAGATAGTTTAGCTATGGAAATAATATTTCTATAATATTTATATCTTTTAGAATTAAAATTAAAACCTACTATTTCCATAAAGTTTTCCCTAGCAAAAAGTGTCATTTGAAACAGCATTAAGATTTATGCATATCTCTTTTACCTCCAGGTATATGTCTTTGTGTGTTTTACAATCCCTACAATAGTGGCTTGAAAATAACAAATGCTAAAAAACAAACAAAAACATGAAATAATTATTCTAAGCTATAGGCATTTTTAAAGGAATATTGTATCATGATTATTTGCATATGTTTTTATTTTGAAATAAAATGTCTCTATATAAGTAGAGCAAAATATTTAAAAAATATGTTGTAATATATACTTTCCCAGGAACATGAAAATTAAATATAGATAGAGAAAAAAATCTATTTCATCTTACTACATATCCATGGAAGCAAAACCAAATTTCCTCTAAACATTTATGAAGAGAGAGAAATCAGATCATTCTCACAGAAATACTTTTTTGGCAAAACACTGAAAAGGCAACGTATAAAATAATACAAATTACTTACAACCATTTTATTTAGAGACACCCAACAATCTGGTGGGAAATCCTGCAGTAGTGGTACCAAGAATTGAAGACAGCCATCCCAGTGACACAAGAGCAGCATCATGCCGATGAGATTAAATATTCTCACCACTGCACTGGCGAGATCATATGTCATGTGGAATATCTGTTGAACAAGACATAAAATTAACTCTTAAATTTTTTTTTAAACAAGCATACTACCAAAATCAGAAGGATTGATATGGTGTAGCATAAGTATTGATTTAAAAAAATTAAGGAAAAGATTTTCAGAAATAGAGATTATATTTGTTTGTGTTTTCCAATGTTTGATACTCTGACTTATGAATATTATAATAAACTGTTAATTTTTCACCAGAAATAAAAAGGATAAGAAATTGATGCTTTCAAGAAAACTTCTTTTTCCAACAGTTTTTATTTACTATTTCTCTTCTCATGTTAGTAAAGGTACTTTAAAACATAAGTTATTCAATTTGCTGAAAGACAAAAAAATATTCAAGGACTGAAAACTATAAGCAAAGAGTTTAACTGAAAAATATAAAGTGAGATTGAGAATAATCTGCAGTTAACAGCTATGCATGAAAACACTTCTTTAACTGTGTATATTGAAGATGGACAGTGATGTTTAAGTTAAAAGYAATGTGGACTTGCCTTAAAAACATTCGTACTTATAACAATCTTATAACTATTTTTATCAATTTTTCACAATAAGCTATCAAAGTAGGTCAGACTATTTCAGAAAGCACAATGAATATGACAAATCAAGATCTTCCTTTGAAATKTTAAAGGTAGAAACATATATCTGGCTATACATTTACATCTACTCATTTTCTAGTTGTTATAAGAAATAGAATCAGAATGTGATATTTCTCTTTTGAAGTGTATGGAAGTCACAAGATCAACATCCATAAATTAATAGCTTTCCTGTATTCAGCAGTGATTCAGCCAAGAAAGAAATCAGAAAAACTATCCCATTTGTGATAACCTCAAAAAATKTAGATACTTGGGAGTTAATCTAGCCAAGGAGGTAAAAGAGTGCTACAATGAAACTTATAGAACACTAAAGAAATAAATTGAAGAAGACCTTAGAAGTGGGAATATCTGTAATTTTATTGGATAGGCAAAATCAATATTGTTCAATTGACCTTACTACCAAAAGCAATATACAGATTCAATGCAATCCCCATCAAAATGTTAATGACATTCTTCACAGAATTAGGCAAAACAATTCTTATATTAATTTGGAGGAATAAGAGACCAAAAACAGCTAAAGTGACACTAATCAAGAAAAGCAAGAGGTGTCATAATACCAACTGTGAAATTATACTATAGAGCTATAGTAACAAAACCAGCAATGGTATTGGCATCAAAATAGTATGAAGACTAATGGAACAGACTAGAAGACACAGAGACAAATCCACATACTAATAGTTATCTAATATTTGACAAAGGTGCCAAACACATATCTTGGAGAAAAGACAGCCTTTTTTAACAAAATGTGTTGGGAAAATTCAATAGCTCTATGTAGAAAAATGAAACTAGACCCCTATCTCTCATCCTGCACAAAACTCAAATCAAAATGGATCAAAGCCTTAGTAATTAGAACAGAAACTTTACACCTGCTAGAAGAACATATAGGGTCAACACTCCATATATAGGTCCTGGCACTGACTTAATAATACCTCCAAAGTGCAAGAAAAAAATCAAGAATCTGTAAGTAGAATGCCATCAAACTATAAAGTTTCTGCACAGGAAAGAAAGTGATTAAGAGCATGAACAGTCAGCCTAAAACTGAGAGAAAATCGTGGCCAATCATTCCTCCAATAGAGGATTAATTCCAGAATAAGCAAAGCACTAAACACCAAAACACAAATAACCCAATCAAAAAATGGGCAAAAGAAATAAAAAGAAACTTCTCAAAAACAAAAACACAAATAGCCAACGGAAAAAATATTCAACATTTCTAACAATCAGGGAAGTACAAATCAAAATTACACTAAGATTTCATCTCACTCTAGTAAGAATAGCAATGATCAAGAATATAATCAACAATAAATGCTGATGGAGTTGTAGGGAAAACGGAAGGCTTGTACAGTGTTGGTGGGACTGCTAACTAATACAACCACTCTGGGAACCTTATGGAGATTCCTCAAAAAGCTAGGAATGGAACCACCATATGACTCAGATACACCATTCCTTAGTATTTTCTCCAAAGATCTAATATTGGCATACTACAGCAATATATCCACGTCCATACTAGAGGAATATGTCTGTAATGAGCCATTAAAAAATGAAATTGTGGCATTTGCCAGTAAATGGTTGGAAATGGAGAATATCATCCTAAGCGAAATTAGCCAAACTAAGAAACTCAAAGTTCAAATGCTTTCTTTCATATGCAAAAGCTAGAATAAAATAAAGGAAAAGGGAAAGAAAGGATAGGATAACATAAGGAGCCAATCAAATACAAATTAATAGATGAGTGAAAGGAAGTCTAGTAGAGGAAGGACAAAAGGAGGGGGAGGGCAGGAAGGAATAGGGAGAGATCATGAGCTGAAATCAATTTCTATGCATGTATGAATTTGTTGTGATGAACTGATCTACTATGTATAAATATAAAGTTCTAATAAAAAATGTTTATGAAATTTCTCTGCTGCTATTATTTCACCTTGTTTAAAACAATGAATTAATAACTTAAATTTACAAATAGGAATAAATACACATAAACATCTTGAAATAAAATTACATGTTGTATAGTTCACCAAAAGAATGGTATATCTTTTAATAAAGACAACATGGCTTGAGAAATTATCTACAATAGGTTAAAGAAAACACTGTAAAAAATTGATATTTTGAGTTAGAAACCATATTTTTGTAAAAAAAATTCTAGAATTTTTAATATTTGCATACTAATGGTAAACTGACAGTACATATGTTAATTTACTTTTATAAAATCACCAAATCTACCTTTCTTTTTCAGTAGATTTTTATGAGCATTAACTCATTTAAACTATCTTCATTTGGACAAAATAATTGAATTGAGTAAAAAAATCCATCTTTGTAGGAATTTACATAGTGTCATAAATCCTCTTTAAAGTAAGATTTTAAAAGCAACAGATGACACAGTTTGATATTCAGAAAGCTGTAACACAGCAATGTATTTTATAGCATTAAGAATTTTATTTTCCTCTCAGCTAATTTTTATTTATTTATTGTGTATTTGGMAAACCCACATAAAATTCCCTTTGGTGTTATTCCCTCCAATATTTCTTGATCATTGAATTTATAAATAAAAACTGTACCATCATTTTCATCATTTTTAAATTAAAAGTAATATAGTGAAAAAAATTTTTGAAAAAAATTTTTACTAATAATGTAGCAAAAGAAAGCCACCACAGATTTAGAATGTTCAGTTTAGTAACATAATTCTGTATTCATATTTATTTCTAAAAAATGGCTGTGAGTTATGTATGGCATGGCTGCCTAATGTAAAGTACTCAATCTAGCARGAAACTTAGCTCCTTTTGGTCCAATTATTTGAAGTAAACAATAACTATCTGAAATTCTCTGCCAGAAGTCTACAAATTATAAGCCTACCGGCAGCAGCCCTCACTCAGTGATCACATTTCAGAGTGGAGTCTGGAAAGTTCTGGAGAATGAACGCCAATTCTTAATAAATTTGACCTTTCACATTTTCTATATTCTTTTAAGGAAGTAGATTATTTTAAAATGAAATCTTAAATTATTTCAGATTATTTACTAAATTACATGTGTTAGCAGTTATTCGCTCAATTTCTTTAAGAAAACCTTACTATATTAGAAATGTTTTCCAGAGAAACATAACCGCATAGGAAACATTTTCATAGAGGAAGTTAATAAGGATATAAGACCTTTTGTAGTCTACTAGAAAAATGTTTTGTTTCCATGTAATTTCATAAACTATTGCAACAGGATAATTCCTAGATTGGGAGCGATATTCTATCCCACTTCTGTTCCCACCAACACAACGTCAGTATATAGCACTTGTTTTACATCTATATACTAACTGTTATACATAAAATACTCACATAATTAATCACACAATGAATTTTCCTTATGGCTCTTAGCATTATGTATTCAATAGTGATCTCAAATTTGGGAGGCATCCCAAAGTCTAACCTTGGAGGAAGTATAAGCAAGCTATTTTAACACTAGCTAATTTCAAATAGTACAAATTATGTATCTATATTTTTATCCTAATGAGTACAATATCATGTTGATGAATATGTGAAAATGTGTATATAGTACCTAGACCCAATCCATGTCCTTTGAGCTCTTATAATTAATATATGTGACTTGAATGCTGAGATCTAATGACTTCAGATTTGGAATGAAATGACATCCTTATGAAATACACCCATCTGTGGATGGTCAGATTATGCAAAAAAATGATTTAGTTTATCTATTGTCACCACTTCTTAAAAGCCTAAGGGTAGCTCATGGGATATATCTGTGACTTTACTCATCATACTGAACAACTAGTTAATACAATTAATTAATTAATTAATATTTAAAGTTTTTCATCTAAGTTGTACACTCATAGTTGATAAACTTACATCCAAACCAATGTTACTGCCTACAAACTTGATCTCATTGAAAAAAATGGCACCATAGGTGACATGCAGCAACTTATGGAAAGAGAAAGGATAAATGGGATTTCATAATGAAAGCACAATAAACCTTTTATGGTTTCAAAGAAATATTGCATTCTTTTGTTTCTCTTTGTAAATATTCACCTGACACCTTAATGTATAGATAGATATTATAGTGTGTGTGTCGGGGTGAGGGTGGGTGTGTATGCCATCTTGACAAAGAATATGAAAATCATTGGGCCTTCAGAATAAGACCTACTGCTAACATGTATTGAAAGCTCAATATGTCCTCATTCTCACCAATGTTAAAATCAATACCTTAAGAGCCCTATTAACACTTTATGAAAATCTTACCCTGAATGTTGTTCATATTATCTGTCCTATCATGCTTAAGGTATGAAGTGTAGAAAGTCCTGGTACATGAAAGAAACTCTTAGTGATATCTTTGAACAAAGCCTGTGAAGACTGCTGTTATACTAATTTTTCCAGACCCCTAATCCTTTCTAGGATATTTATCTGA